ATATTTTCACGAACCCTTGAAGTTTCTATGGGACAGTAGTACAATATATATCACACCATATCATGGTGCCATTTCAATAATGGAGTGTTTACATTAAGTGCAACAGCATTTTTGACATATAGGCTACCCTGTTGAAAAAACCAGCATATGCTGGTTTTTTCAACAGGGTATTTACACAAATTACACTCACCAATGTCTGGTTGGGCCACACAAAATTAAAAATGACGTGCCCCGGGTAACAGAGCAGTAGCATAGTGAGTAAGGCACATAAAAGTAGTATTTTGACGTGATCAACCAGCGTTAAAGTCCGCTTTTTGCCAGACTCGCTCTTCTCCTTTTTCCCATCACATATCAGATCAGAAAGGCATTTACTTTCAATGTAGAAAATATTTGATAAGTGGAAATAATGTGCATAACGAGTGTTTAATTCTAAAGTATATCAGGGTTAGGGGTATAGGTGTATGGAGGGCTTTATTGTCCCAATAGCGGCATCCATTTAATATTTTTATAAATATAATCATTTACACTCTACATTACTATTGCATCCTGTTAATGTACAACAAAACTGAGGTGCAAACATCTGCCACTATATAGACTATAGCCTATAAATAATAGGCTATCTAATCACGATTTACACTTATTGCAAAGAAAATACATAGTGTAAATAGAATTTATTGCTATTTTCACTTAGTGTAAACAGTATATCAATAAAATACGTTCTATTGTCAATTAGTGTAAACAGCATCTAATATTTGCTACTTACACTGCAAATAGCCGCTGCCTTCTATAACTAACATGCAAGCTTTATATAGTGGTAATGGACTAACAAAACCTTAATTTTGAACAATTTACTATACCAATACCATACCGATGAGTTTATGGACTCTTGAACTTGCACATATTATTACTGCTGAATTCATTTCATAACACTGTTTCTCGCAGCCACGTAATTGATGCTTTAAAGCTAAAATTTGGGCTTCGTACTAGAGTTATGGGTCTAAAAATATTACTAATTTTAAAGAGCTTTTACTGCACCACGATTTTTAAATGACACTTTAAATTTGCATAGCCATATAAATGACTTGGTTAATGGTTTAAAAAAACGGTACTAAAATGCCCAAAATTTGAATTTCATTAGACCGTTACCTCTGGTATAGTCCTTAGTTTGAATGCATCCTCTATAGTGGCGAAAGGGAGCGGGAGCATTTCCGTTGTGCTGCAGCGATTTTGTTGTGTTATGGCTTGTTTCCGTTGTGTTGTGCTAATTTCGTTGTGCTGCGGCGATTTCGTTGTGTTGTGGACGACTGGACCACCGTAGGGAACTGAATTAAAATATGCAATTTTTTTTTTGTTACTTTATTTTCGTGACAGAACTCATTAAAAGTCTAAATACCAAACAGTATGGTCTTGAGAGCACACTGAAAATCCAAGATTTAAATCAGAACTTGTAAATGATATCAACTGATCATCCATATGACTATAAGTACTAGTGTTTCTGTATTCTAAGTTAGTTTGAGGTTGCACTTAATCGTTTTCTATTGCCCTTGGTAGTGTGGAGAACTCTGTCTTCAGTAAACGGTCAATGGGTTGAACTTCAAATTTGACTCCTGGTCTGCACTAATCATCTTTGAGCTTCACTGAGCATATTGGTCTCTCTACGGGGTTTAACTGTAAATTTCCTTGTTTCTATTTGTAAAGGGAATCACGTGACAGAACCAAAGGTGAGCTTTATTACACAGCAGCATGGTCAAAGCAGGCAAGGTCAAAATCCAGCAAACAATGTAATCCAAGGCAGAGAGCAAAAGAATAATCCAGATGAACAGGCAATGATCGAAATCCAAGTGAGCAGTTCAAAGTACAAAACATGAAACAAGGCAATGGCAAATGAAAAACGCTTGGTAGAGTCCGCAACAGTTAAACAATACTTCACCATGTCAGTAGGAATGTGTGAAACTAAAATAGTCCTTCTAAGTGGAAACAGCTGTGCATGCAATTAGTTCCTGGCATGGGGTGTTATGGGAGATGTAGTCCGTGAAACAATGGTACAGGTAAATGATGGAGTATCCTCTAAAGGAGCGCATTGGCACTCCAGTAGGAGATCGTGACAATATTACATTTAAAAATTGCCAAATTATATTGCCAAGTTTTACACAAATTGTGTCAACGGCAGGTCAAGTACTGCTGTCATTAAAGCAAATTCGGAAATTCATGCATTCATAAATTTTTTTTACTCAAATTATTATTCTGAATATTCAAAATATAATTTGTAATTACTATGTTTTTGTTAAAAATGTGCTAAAAATGACTGTATACCAGTAAGTATAAAGGCACTGCATAAACCCAACATAACTCAAACCAGTGGCAAAGAGGATTGCATTAGTTTCTGAACAAAAGGTCACATCAATCAGAATATTCAGGGGCTGTGACATGGAAATGTCTTCAACAGAAATGCTCTGTGGCATTCACCATGGTTGACTAGCAGCACTGGGCTAGAACATTACGTAAGCGAGCCCTAAGGTTATCACAGTGCTGGCTGTGTGAGGAAAGACAGCACAGATTTGAGTATGATGTGCGGCAAGAACACAATGTGTGTTGACGACTGTTTGCTTCTGATACTGCCAACTGACAGCAGCTGTCACAGACACTGAGCTGATGTTAAAAATATTAGTATTTTTAGTATAATATCAGCATGTAGACAAGTGGCATAAACATCTTGTCTAGCTATTTTTAAGGCATTTATATATCCCATGAAACACAACAGATGTTTAGCAGAATGTTAAGGTGCTCTTTTCCATACAAAAACTAATTTACACTTTAAAGGTCCAAAATAAATAAATTGTTTATTTATTTATTTAAGTATGTGGTATCGAAAAATAAAGTATTACCATAGAGTATGTGGTTAAAAATGTGAGTCTTCTGAAGCTAGTTTTGTGTGATGAACAGACCCAAATATAAGCTGTTTTTGATATTGAATCTTCCTCTCTACACTAGTTCTCAAATCTCTTTTGCCCTTGCATCATGTCAGGTTTAACAAAAATAAGACAAGCACCATAGAATTAAAAAAGTAAATGATGACAAAATGTTCATCATTTTATTTGAACTTTAAACCTTTTAATCCTCTAAAGTGCAAGGGAAAAACTTATTTAATTGCCTTTATTACCCATCACATCCATCTTCAGTCGATCTCAGTTGTTCTAAAATCAGACGTGGTTCACTTTACAGTGTGAAATATAGCAGTGGTGTGTCAGTATGACCTATTGAGTTTGAGAGGGAGGGAGGGTGTTCTAACTGGGAATGAGCTGGTAAAGCACGTACTGTACCACAGGGTCACATCTCACCTTAACTTCTCACCCACAGTCTGGTCCCAGCACATACAGGAACCAAAGAGGAGTAATGTTGTTAAATGTTATGAGAAAAGTTAAACCACAGTATTGCCACTGGAATCTCTCTGCCTTGCAAGTTTATTTGCTTGCCTTGATAAAGGAAAAATTAGTTTGAAAACTGTTCATACAGTAAGATTAGTAAGTAACCCTGAGTACTCAGGTTGTGCAATATTTTACACTGTACACTGCATTCGTATTCTTATTTACATATTTATGCAGTTGATAACAATGATTAGCCATGTTTTGTATGATATGTAAATATATAACCACTATGTAATATTGCTGGCATGAAACATGCAAGGATGATGGCATAGAGAACCCAATTGCAGTTTATTTACAAAGGTGAAGATCCAAAAACATAAACTTAATTCTACACATGAAACACAACATCAGCATGGACTATGGGCTTGACTAGAAAATAAACAATGACATGGAACATCTAAATATACTTCAATACATGACAAAAGGTGCGTTCGACTTCATGCAGCACTGCGCAGAACGATCGGCGGCTGACTTGAAGCAGTGCATGCCGGTTAGAAATTTAGTCCAACTTGAACCGGCGCCAACGCCACGTCACTGTCACGTGTGGCATCAAAGTACAGCGATAGCGTTTCGAGAGCAGCCGGCTGACTCAGCTGGCGCTGCTTTTTCAGAGCGACTGCAGGAGCGCTGATGACGACACAGCTGTTTCAGATTGGCCAAATTCACCACATGACAACAATGACGTATGTTTCTAATATCTTCAAATCCAATACTGCTCATAAATCTGTTTTTTAGAACAGTAAAAGCTTTTTTACTGTAGTCGCAATGTTATATTGAGTCACGTTTATCATGAAAGCATATATACCCCCACTTTATTAGTATTTAAATAGTATATATTTACGTTGAACTTTATTCTTGAACAGATGGCGCTGTATTAAGTGGTATATAAAAAGTGTTTCTGTTGCTCATGAAAACGTTTCTGAAACGTCTGTGTATTTGACAAATATTGCATTTAATTCACTTCATCTGTGATAGAGTATGCAAACACCGCGTGAGCGTCACTAACGGGAGCAGAAATGTCCGGCTTGACGGCTCCGTTTTCAACTCCGCCCCCGACTGCAAGCGGCTACTCTCGTTGATCGCCGCTTATAGCCGTGCTTCAAGTCGAACTCACCTACTGTAACAAACATGAGGGCTTATAAACAAGACTCTATGGTAATCACATGATGTAAACAACCAATGACAAAACGGAACTGCTAAACAAAATGAACATGAACCAATGAGGGAGCAGAATTAATAATGAGACAGCAAGACAATGAACCAATGAAAACATGACATGAGCAACAAGCGGGAATAGGAGGTCACATGACTTGAAACAGGAAATACATAACTGAAACCAAGATAGAAGACCTGCCATAAAAAACATGACTAGACCTGAACTTAAATCATGAAATGTGAACAAAAGACAAGCTGTTCAAACTAACCCCCGTTCAAAATAATGTGAAACATGACTTTACCCAGGTTTATACTGTAAGTGGTTTTAAAGCCTATTTGTGAATGTCTATTGACATATATGAATTCAGTTTTTCATTTTTTTATTTGTTAAACGTGTGATTCATTTGTTGTTTTCTCCAGGTGAATGACAGACTAGACCGGTCTTGCTGTGGTTTCAGACCAGACCCATCAGAACTCTGTGTAGAAAACCTGCTGCATGTCAAATGTGGAAACCCAAAGGACTTAAATCTGGTGCACATCCTGGTAAAGGAAATATTGGTGATATTTGTCAGATCTTCCGATAATAACATATCAATACAGAACATCCTCATTCTAGTTCAACCCTCATAGACCATCTCACAGTACCTCCCAGTTGTAGAGAAAAGGGTCCCATATTTTATATAACTGAAATGGTAAAAAAAAAAAAAAAAAAAAAAAATGAGACAGCAAGACAATGAACCAATGAAAACATGACATGAGCAACAAGCGGGAATAGGAGGTCACATGACTTGAAACAGGAAATACATAACTGAAACCAAGATAGAAGACCTGCCATAAAAAACATGACTAGACCTGAACTTAAATCATGAAATGTGAACAAAAGACAAGCTGTTCAAACTAACCCCCATTCAAAATAATGTGAAACATGACTTTACCCAGGTTTATACTGTAAGTGGTTTTAAAGCCTATTTGTGAATGTCTATTGACATATATGAATTCAGTTTTTCATTTTTTTATTTGTTAAACGTGTGATTCATTTGTTGTTTTCTCCAGGTGAATGACAGACTAGACCGGTCTTGCTGTGGTTTCAGACCAGACCCATCAGAACTCTGTGTAGAAAACCTGCTGCATGTCAAATGTGGAAACCCAAAGGACTTAAATCTGGTGCACATCCTGGTAAAGGAAATATTGGTGATATTTGTCAGATCTTCCGATAATAACATATCAATACAGAACATCCTCATTCTAGTTCAACCCTCATAGACCATCTCACAGTACCTCCCAGTTGTAGAGAAAAGGGTCCCATATTTTATATAACTGAAATGGGAAAAAAAAAAAAAAAAAAACATCAAGGGCACAAGATCCAGTGTAATTCTTTGTATTTTTACATGGTTGCTTGAATATCCATTACAGCAATATACAGTGGAATGCAGTGAATAATAAAATTTTGAGCAGATGAAACCTGCTCCCAGAATGATAAATATGATATTGGAGAACCCCCTTTTTTTATTTAAAATGTTTAAATCTGACCTTGCAGTGCTCTTAGCTCTGTTATGTAGATGTTTTTATTTACTTATTTAGGTATTAGCGTCAGTTAAATTATAGCATATATATTTTTTTATTAATTCATAAATATTTTTCTATACTTGAGCTTTCGCAAGTATCCTTAAAATGATCAGTACACCATTTGACTTTGAAGAGAGTAAACATGCATACATAATGACACTATGGCATCAGTGAAACTTCACAGTGAAAAGGTCACATAGTTGGAAAGTATTCGTTTTCTACCAGGAGAGTGTAGAAAATTTTTCCCCCTTAATACGGCTTTCCAGTATCAAAAGCAATAACTTTCCAACAGCTCTCGAGATCTACGTGAAGTTTGAGCTCACTCTCAAACTGTGAGTTAGAAACCCAGCTAAATAAAGTGAGGCAGCTAAAACAAGTCAAGCCAATCAGTTTCCATGGGAGCCTTTAGATTGGTTCTGAGCTCCAGTGTAGCTGTGGTTTAGGTTTTTGGACCCAGTCTGCAAAAGTCATCTGTTTTAAAATTGCTTGCTCACAAAATCATTCCACAATTTTAGAAATATCTCCCTGTTGCTTAGCTTGTATGAATTATACTGACTGCAGTGGGCTCTGTAAGTTTTTCTGTCTCTTTTGTTAACCCTAACCCTGATATTAAACATGCATGGACACTGAGAAAAAAATAAAAAATAAATAATTAATTGTGTTGAACAAATTGATAACTCAAATTTCAAAGATGTCAACTCCAGTAGAATTATTGGCTTCTAAAAATCCAAACTGCAAAGAAACAACAAGGGAGCTCTCAAAAAAGTGGGCAGAGAGAACAAAGAAATTGGCTACTAAGTGGCCGGTATATATATTACATTCCAGTCTGAATTTTCGATGGCAAGCGAGATGTTTTAGTTTTACTATAGTCATGACTTCTGATTTTAGTACACATTTAATATACTTTTGGCATAATTATGTGAAATATAATTCAACAAAATCTGAAAAGTGGTCTACCATTCGGTATCAGATCATTTTGTATCTAATGAAATGCAATTCTAACATTTTTGAAGTGTGTCTTAAAGGGTTAGTTCACCCAGAAATGAATCTTCTGTCATATCCTCACTTTGTTCCAAATCCATAAGGCTTTTGTTTATCTTCAAAACACAAATATATATTTTTAATGAATCATGAGAGATTATTGTCCCTCTATTGAACATCCACGGAACCAGAACGTTGACGCTTCAAAAAGTTCATAAAGACATTGTAAATTTATATGATGGACAGATATAATTTAGGATTTTAATCACATAAATTTTTAATCACATAAAAAAAGCAAGGCATCGAACCCCCAACTGCTCCCCAGGCGCCGCAGCAAAAATGGCTGCCCACTGCTCCGGGTGTGTGTTCACGGTGTGTGTCTTCACTGCTGTGTGTGTGCACTTTGGATGGGTTAAATGCAGAGCACTAATTCCGAGTATGGGTCACCATACTTGGCCACGTCACGTCACTTTTTTTTTCTTTTTTTTTTAAATATTGATTAACACTCATCACATATGAGTAGAAGCTCAAATGTGCTTGCTTGACCCAAAGAACCAATGAGGTTTGTTCTCGCGTATCACACCAGCATGTTTGAGCTTCTGCAAGAACCAAAGGGATTTGTTCTTATGTGTCAGGCAAGTAGCTGAGCTTCCGTTTACCACATACTGCATGATGAGCACTGTGTATGTGCATTGATCAATGCGTATATGTGAATAAATTAAAACAGATTGTCTCTTTAGAAGGGTTATATGGATTCATATGGATTACTTTTACATGGATTACATGGATTCACATGGATTACTTTTACAATGTTCTTTAGGGACTTTTTGAGCCATCAAAGTTTTGGTTGTGTGGACTTATAATAGAGGGACAGAAATGGCTCAGGCTTCATTAAAAAAATATCTTCATTAATTAGTTTAAAAAACTAAACAAAAGTCTTATGGGTTAGGCTACAGTAACTTTTGACAGAATTTTTATTTTTGGGTGAACTAACCCTTTAAATGTCTAAAAGTTTCCAAATACTTTAGGGCCACTGTACATAATATAAATAAGCATGAATGTACTCAAAATAATCTGTATATTAACCTCAATTTATAGGTTCGGAAGACAGAACCTTCCAGACTGGTTTTTATTGACAATGCAGGAAGACCTCATCAACCACAAGACAACCTCAACTTCAGACTGCTTGAAGGTATTGATGAGTAAGTATTAATATTTGTGAAGATTTATCTAGACTATTTATACTATCTTATACTGGCCTAGTGGTTAAAAATGTGTACTGTTAACTACTGTAAGTTTGAACTGGGACTTCTTAACATTGTGCCTTTGAATAACAGACTTGCTGACCCAAGTCCATTTGGATACAAGTGCCAACTGAATTAGAAGCAGACAAGTTATGTTTACGAATACAAATGTCAGAATAAGGATTCTGTTTTCAAGGAAATAAGACTGATCAACATACAAAACAGTTAGTGTAACAGTGTATTCGTTGATTGATAGGTTTCCAGAGTGGGCCGTTTCAGTGCTGCAATCAGGATGTCTGGAGAGGATGCTCCTTCGCTCCCTGTCTGTGGATCGGGAATTCTGGGTGAGCAGAGGAGAGGCGTCCGAACTCAAATCTATCATCTGGCATGTTGAGCAAAGAGCCAAGGCCCTCCTCCAGTATATACAAGAGAAGAAACTACGACTTAACAGAGATCTTTAACTCTCACATGAAGAGATTATCTTATATTGTAAAAAAAAAACAAACAATTACTGAATTCTCAGAAGACACAAAATGTTTATGGAAATCCTTTGCTTTGCATTGAATCATCCTGATTCATTTTTGTCGTTTTGTTCATTAAGTCTGTTTTGTTGTGATGTTTAGAAAGTCATGCGAACTATGCAAGACAGCTAAAATGAAAAGAGGTAGTGTATTTTGCATGTATTTTTGAGTCGATTTCCCTAATCAGGGTTGACAATCCTTGAACTGTGATTAAGTGATGCTCATAGTGTCTGAGAGAAGACACTCCAGATGGTCATTTGCAAAGCAGGACTCATGCAGAGGCCCATCACTGTGAAGAGACTTACACTATGTCCTAACCTGACACGATACAATTAGATTTCAACAACAAGCAATTTGTCTTACTATGCTAAATGCTAATGTGCTGTCGACGGCACACAGTTACAGCCAATTAGAAGATATTTAATATTTAATGTACAGTTATGAGAAGTGGAATTTTGGTCTAATGATATTTCATATAGTGGGTGGCTGTCGCACAATTAGACACCAAACCATCAACAAAATCTGTCGCTTATTTGTTTTGTGGTCACAGCTGCATTGGACAAAACCAGAATTTACATGGAAGAAATTAAGCTTTGTATGTCAAGTCTTCCTCTGGTGCATTCAGGAAGGGTAACTGCAGCTGTAAGTTAGATATGAAGTTAAGTTAATGAAGCTTCCAAACTATTTTTCTTGTGCAGTGTCCTTGAAATGCCAAAAACAAGAGAATTGTGGTGTACAAGCTAAATCTTTAATGAAGGCTACTATACTAGAATAGATGCTGAGGACTATGAAACTGTGGTGTGGAGTGAAACTCCTTAACTCCTGCTCGGCTCCTACAGGGCCTCAGTTATGCACGAAATTGCTGAGTCAGAATTTGTGGTGTCATATGTAGGGTTGTCATACATGATTCTAGGCTGTCGACTTTGTCTTATAGGACACATACTGTGCATACACTGCAGTTAAACAGTTGTCCTAAACTTTTTTTTTTGACTCCAAGCTCCCCTGTTGTCAGCAACAATATTAGAAGGCCCTATGACTTCTGCAGTTTGTGATTTTCTGGATAAGAATAAAGATTTAAAAAAATATATATGTTTTAATACCTGATTTCAATACCCGATCTTCTACCTGGTTTACAATCTCATTTCGACTTGATATTTGTTTCCTCTTTAATTCAGAGCTTGGCATAACTGGAGCATATTCATTTAAAATGCCCTTGCAATTATTAATTTTATTAATTGACATGACTTTTCCAGTTCTCTGAAAAAAAAAATCAGGCTACCTTATATATCTAGGTTTATCTAGTTAGTGGGAACCCTGCTGCTTCTTCTGTTTAAAAAAAATTGAAGAAGAGTTTATATATATAAAAATGTTTTTTTTTTTTTTTTAAGTCATCTTGAGGCCCCCTTTGGAAGTTTGCTGAGACCCCTTTGTGTCTAGCCCAGTCCTCTGGTTGACAACTACTGATTTATACAATTCAGCCATTTTTATATGCGGTCATTACTCCCAAAACTTTGTAGTGTGTATGTGGCCTTTTTGTTAAATAAACTGAATTTCAGTGTTTTTACTAAGTTGTCATCACTCACAACCACTAGTTCATGCATAATTAAAAAGTCATTATTTTTGGAAATGTATGACTGCATCTTTGGAACATTGATTGTTCTACTTATTACTTGCTGAATTTGGAATTTTCTCTGGAATAAATGTGCTCATCTACGATGTATGAAGTATTTCAAGACTAGTCGAAAACCTCAATCATAGGAAGAATCACACGTATCTGACAGCTTATTTATTTTTCATAAATCAATGCTCAAATCACATTTTGTGAGTTTGCACTTTTGAAATGTTTTTTCTATGTTCGAACACAGCTGCAAACTTTAAAATAATCCATTAAAGACATTCAGCAGATATCAGTTCCTGAAATCAAATGAAAAGAGGCTGAAGAAGAGTTTAGAGGAACAGAGTTCATCTGTTCGTGAGCTGATCTTGTCACTTCCTATAAGCCTCATACTGATCACACATTTGGAGATTAGGAGCATGCCGAGGGAGAAAAATAAATGATATTAGCAAAACATTAAATCTCCCTTTCATCCAGTTTATATTCCCACAGGTCTCATTTACATTTGCCTAATGTGGGCCAGAGACTCCTGCCTGTGTTCTGCTTCCAATTTCACTTCAAAGTACTTTGACTGCTTCTTTTTAAACTTAGGAAGAGAGTTCACCGAACAGATTTGAAACATAAGGCTTGTTTGGCATAAATGCTGAATGCACAGATATTTTATATCTTTGATGAGCTGATATAATATTTAAAAACGTAAATGTAATGGCCACATCCAGACAATCCCAATCTGTTCCAAATACCTGTGTGTATAGTTCTTTTAACCTCATTGAAAACTATATACACCTTTCTAATGATTCCTTTAAGAATAGGAGGATAAAAACATCATGCCATTGTGTGTTTGGGTTAATGAGTTCAAAGCAAGCTGATGTAATTTGTACTTCATGCCTGAAATCTGAAAGATGGATAAAACATATAGTGGGTATAGAAAAGAATCACCCCCTTTAAAATTGTTCATTTCATCTCTGCATTTAACAAATAAGTGAAAGAATAATCTCCTTAAGAACTTTAGCTTCATTGTTTCATCAGTATGACTGCACAGTACTGTGCTACTTCAAAAAATTAATTCCCTACCATAATAATTAAATCCTGTCCGTTAAATATTTCAAAATAATTGCTTTTTTTATCAGTTGAATTTCCCAAAGACCATGAACATTTCAGCTCCTTTCAAGTCCATGGTTTTGCAATTTATAAATAAGTGCAACTCGATCGTAGTTGTCTTACAAGGTCAGGGTAAAATAAAAAGGATGAAATATAAAACTACAAGCTCTCTCATCATTAGGCAAGAGATGAGTGGATCAAGCCATTATTGCTGGACCATGTAAGAGGGTATCTCAGAAAACTGTGAGAAGTAGCAGAAGTCTCTGTCATGTGTTACCTCTGGCCTGCATCCAATTTAATAGAAAAATGATTTTAATTAATCATAACCATGGGAGTGATTAAACTAAGTGTAAATAGAGATGAAGAGAAAGAACGAGAATGAGACAAACACAAAAGGGAAAGAGAACAAGGATGCAGTTCTCCAGATGAAAGTAAGCTGCTTTCTAACCTGTTTTATAAATGTTTCTGTTGACAAGTGAGCACATAAAGCATTCTTCCCCTTGAGCATAGATAAAACCATCATCCATGCCTCACACAGCAAAACTATAGCTGTGCATCTTCATATTTCTTAGTGATAAAAGTGATATTTTTATTACACCATTTTTGTTGACTTACCTCAAAAACCATGTGATAGTATTACCCAGGGCATGGTACCTTTCTGCTCTATTATTTTCACAGTTTATTAAAGGGGTCATAGGATGCCCATTTTCCACAAGTTGATATGATTCTTTAGGGTCTTAATGAAAAGTCTGTAACATAGTTTCGTCAAAATTTCTCAATGGTAGTATTAAATTTTTTTTACCCTGTCAAAAACAGCTCTTTTCAGATCAAGCCGTTTTTGTAGCATTTTCCTTTAAATGTTAATGAGCTCTGCTGACCCCGCCCCTCTCTTCCGAGCTGCTCTCAGAGAGACTGTTTACTTTAGCCGCATTCATTGTGAAACTTGCTAATTAGCACATTATTAGGAAAGGCGATTTGCAAAGATTTATTACAAAACATTATACTCACTTCTTCTGTAGATGAGGCTGGATCATGAATGATTCGCTCGAGCATAGACGCATTTATGTAGAACGGGGGCGCATTCCCTTCAGAAACAAATGTAATCCACTGCGAGTTCAGCGACTCAATAATCATCACTTGTTTTTTGGTGTTGATTACTAAGGCTAATTAATATTGGTCATACTAAGGAAACAAGCCCTAAATGGGATAATTCACCCTAAAAAAAAATAATAATAATAATAAAAAAATAAATAATCTTTTACTCACCCTCATGTCGTTCCAAACCAGTCTTTCTTTCTTCTCTGGAGCATAAAAGTAATGAAATGTCTGTGTTTTTGTTTTGTTTTGTTTTGCAACAACCACTTTCAACAACCCAAAACACTCTAGCAACCATATAGAAATCTATAGCAACTGCATAGCAATGCCCTGGTAACAACATCCCTAGCATTGTTGCCATCAAGTTTTGCAAGGGAATGCATGACTCACTTTTTCAGAGAATGCAACAGTCTAGTTGGAACTAGACAATCTCTGAAAATGTCATGACCAATAGTGTTAACTGCTAATGTGCAATGCAAATATCTACAGAGCCTTACAATAGTGAGACTCTTAGTAGTGAATGAGGAACACTTGCCTTTCTGTTTCTTGTCCCTGCCACTGGAACTTCGATTTCTGCCATAGATAAATAGTTATTTTAAATTGTAGTAATATTTCACAATGCCACTGTTAGTACTGTTTTTATCGTATAAATGAAGCTTTACAGAGCATAAAAGATTTCTTTCAAAACATTACAATTCTTACCAGTCCCAAACTTTTGAACACCAGTGTATATGAGGCAGATTTGATAATGCATGTATATACTGTGTACACATTTTATATAACTGACTAACAGTGTGATCAGTTTTAAAACCACCACTGAAGCTGGTTTCAGAAGAGTGAGTGTTCAGTGAGAAGGCAGTTATCTATGCTGTCTCTTCTTTCCCTGTTGCTGGTGATTTATTTAAGACTTGGTTATCCTATTAACCCTCGTCTGGAGGAAAGACTGTGGTGGTCAGGGTCACGCCACCCTCAAAATGTTTCAGAAGACAGTGTAGAAATCTTATTTCACAAAAGAGCAGGATTTATATCCATGTCCTTGGAAAAATATTGGTTTTTAATTGGTTTGAGATGACTATATATATTTTTCATTGGTGTTTCTGTCTGACATGCTTTATTATGGAGACCTTTAACAT